CTTAAATAATATTAAATTGTCATAAAAAATAAATTGTAAAAAGTTTTGAACTATGTTTTACCCCCGTAAACGTCCTCTGATGGAATTATTATTTCCAAAGTGTTTAGGAAACCTACTTGAAGGATGTAAGTATTGAAAAGTTACAAGCTTTTACATAAGGATCCCTGCAAACTTTTTATGTTGAAAAGTGACTGATTAACACAGCTCTCCAACTGTGCCAATTTCCTACAGAAAACATAGGATCTATCAATTCTAGTCAACATTGATCATTGGAGTATAATTTATTGGGGTTCTGTAGAGGGAATTCTTCATCAGCACTGATTAATAAATAAAGATTATCAAATGGATACCAAATATATTTCTTTTATCCCTTGGACGTAAAAATTAAAATATCAAACTTAGGATGTACTTCTTTTACTTCAGGGGTCCAAATTCTTTAGGGTTAGACCGTTGGGGTTTGTTTATGGTTAAGGTTGGGATAGGGGATGTTAGGGTTAGGTTCTAGAGAGGTAGGGCTAGTGTTATGGTTAGGTATGGGTTAGGGCAAGGTTTATGGTAAAGGATAGTTTATAGTATAGCTTTACATGGGTTGGGACCCCTAAAGTAAAAGAAGGCCAAATTATTAGGTTTTCATCATATTAACTATGAGCTTCAAGTCACATTAGAAGTTTTTGGGATTGACCAATTTGCAAATTATCTCCAAAAGCTTCATACTGTGTCCAGCAGCAAGTATCTCAATACTGTATAGGGAAAACATTTAATTGACTTATATTCAGATTATATTTTCAGGGACTATCAATAGTACTTTTAATTTCTCAAGCTTGACAAGATGTAAACAGGAAGTGGACTTCTAAAGTTTGGCGGAAAATAATATCAATGTTAACTGACAAACAGACAAGTCCAAATCAAACATTTCGGTCAACAAATTTGAAATCACAATCTTATAATTCTGTATTTTGTGACCAGTTCAGTTCAGTTTTAATGTTGGAAGAAACATAAAATAAAGACAAATACATAATAAACAAGGTTTGTCACCGAATTTTTTTTTAAAACAAAGAGATGAACATTTTTTTATGAAAAAATTTTTAAAATCTTATAGCGAAAAAATATTAATTTACAGGATTTATAGAATCATTTACTAATTTATAAAGCTTAATATATCTTAAAGTTTATATATCTCCCTCAAGAGAGTTATTGAACTCAATCAGTCACCAAATAAAATTCCCTAGAATAAAAGCCAGGTGTTCCAATCTCAATGATATAACCTCAACATCTCCTTTTGAACATGATACCCTAAAATGTACCTCTATCCATTTCTACATCTCCAATACATAAAAGAGTTACCAAAAATCATGTTTCTAATGAACCATATCAGAGAATTACAGTTCTTGTGTCCCAGCTAAAACACATTTTAATCAACAACAGATGGCATTTTAACAGATCATTATTTCTTAGACTTCTGTCTGCCGGATTCAATTTATTTTTTAATCAATATATGTTATAAATCGTGTTTTTTACACATACATTCTTACATAAAGAATAAATTTTCAAAAATAATCATTATATATACATCATTCATCACATCTCAATGAAAACACTGCATAATGGCGCACTGGTGAACATTTCTGGCAATTCTCTGTGATTTCTAATAACGCTGACATAAGTGAAAGCACATTTGTCGAAAGCAGATCAAAGATTTGAACCCTTGTCATCCCAATAAAAAACTTCAAACTATTCCGCGATTGCCTAAGATCAGGTAATATGATTTCAATGTTGATTAACGAAGATCCGGATATGAGTGTCAATTTAATTGATATAATTGAATGTATCTGATTCAAAGAAAAAAGAAAAATCCCATCATGCCTAATCTTCCCCTATGATAAAGTCATCATTGTATTTTGACAAAAAAATAGACATGTGCAAGTTTTTAAACTCAGGGGAGTTGTCTTTTTTTTTTAAATAACATTATTACTTATAACCCTTCTCCTCATGGATGCTTTTCCATTTTGTACTTCTTTCAATAACTTAACTTTTAATTGCACAAATCTATGGGCCAAATAAAACAATATGTTTTTTCTTGCTTTGAAAACAGAGGTGTTTTTTCCTGCTTTTGTATAATGGCAGCTTCTAGCATGTCTAGAAAGAACGGTAAATTTCAAAAACTTACTTAATTTTTTTTTATACATTTAAGTATTTATTTTTATCAAAAGTTTGGCTGAATTAAAAGTCACTTCATGTTTCCATATCATTACTCCCTTTTTGGTATTTTCTTCTTCTCCTTTTTTCAACTAGAACCATTTCCATACAATGACCTTCTGAACATCTATATGTTATTTTTAACTGTATTATATTATTTGGTTGCTGTCTCTTATTTTAACATAACCACATGTCTACTTTGATCTTTATCAATCAATCTGACCAGAATTGCCTTTTCTAATAATAAAACCAAAACAAAATTGAAAAAATCATTTTTATGAGAATGACTCTAACTGTTTCTAATATCATTTGAGCAAAATAATAGCAGTTCAATAAGTATAACCTCATCAATATTAATCAAACAGCCAAAGTTTTGACAAACCATCAAGTATCTTATCCTCTTTCATGTTGTATCAATAATCATTTTCATTCAAGTCAACTTAATACTTTTCTCTATAGATGAAATAAGCGACCTAATACATTTCTCCACAAATGAAATGAGCGACCTAATACATTTCTCCACTAGAAACTTACAAATGTAATAAGCCATAACCTAAAGGATGCTTAACTTCCTTCTTATGTCGTTTTCTTGATCTTAAATATCATTAATTAACCAATACAAAGGTAATATTGAAAGAAAATACTGGCTAAATAGACAGAGGTTAGGCATACTTCAAAATGAGTACTGGAGTCAATGGATTGGAAATCCGAGTGTTTCAATGACTATAGTATTTAATGTGATGTAGAATATTTTGGAAGTTTGTGAGACAAAGTGAAGGCTTATTGTTTAATTTGTTAAAAGTTTTCATAACATTTTTTTTTCATAATGTTATACATAAATCAATGATATCAGAATTTGTCATTAGAAAATAGTTATTATCAATAAATGAATGTCTATACTGCAAAGTACGACATTTTCGTAAGGCGTTTATTCCAGTAGATCATAACTAAATTTTAAGACAAGAAAAAGGCAAAAATAAAACCTTGTGAAAACAGGTTTGGCCTTTGAAATCGTGAAATTTAAAGTCCACATAAAAATACACTTTACAAAGAGCCAAAGAGCAGAAAACAGCCAAAGACCTCATTTTCATACAACCCAGACTGAAGCAATTTCTAATGAAACTAGCATTCTGTGAGTATTGCATGGCAATACATAGTCCCCTACTGGTTAAAAATTCATTGTATTGGAACAAAATACGAACTTGATCTATAACTTGTCAAGGTGTAAACTAAATAACAAATATCAAGTCAATATCTTCCAGCATGACAAAAAAAAGTGTTGAAAACTGATTATTTAAGTGAATTTTCTAAGTCCAAGGACCATAACTGTGCACAAAATCATCAGACCGGAACAAAATTCAAACTTGATCTGTAACTTGTCATGATAAAACTATATACCAAATTTCAAATCAATATCTTAAAGCATGACCGAAAAAATTGTGGAAAACTGATTATTTGAGTGAATTTTCTAAGTCCAAGGACCATAACTCTGTACCAAATCTGATCTTGAAAGCTTGATCTGTAACTTGTCATGATAAAACTATATATAAAATTTCAAATCAATATCTTTAAGGATGACGAAAAAACGTGCAGAAAACTGATTATTTGAGTGAATTTTCCAAGTCAAAGGACCATAACTCTGCACAAAATTATCAGACTGGAACAAAATTCGAACATGATCTGTAACTTGTCATGATAAAACTATATACAAAATATCAAATCAATATCTTCAACCATGCAGAAAAAAAGTGTGGAAAACTGATTTGCCGGACTGACAGATGGACAGACAGACAGACAGACAGACGGAGTGCAAACCTAAAGTCCCCTTCGACTTCGTCGGTAGGGGACTAATAACTTTGTAGCAGTAAGAGTTACCAGTCTCTGAAATTTTAAGATTTGGGATTCCATCCCTTCTGACCACCTTGTATTTTAAAACTAACCTCAAATTTTCTGTAGATACTAAATCATAAATATTTTCAATGCAGAGATCAAAATATCTATGTTCATACAAAACAATCATTGTAAAATTGTTGCATAAATATATATGGGATAATGTGTTGCTGTGGTTACCTAGAAATTTGTCAATCACAAATTTTTCTATTAAAACCATCTCATCACTTTTTATTGGATTCTGCCTATGATCACAATTAGCCTTAGCATATGCAAATAAATAAATATACATATAATTGAGGAAAAAAAGATGTCAACACTTAATTTTCACAGGCTTGTGTAACAATTAAACATTATTTTATTTTTGAATATTCCTCAAAACTTAGCATATATATAACTCTTATAAAAATCCCAACCAATATAGAGCTCTAATAAACTGTCCTTTACCTTTGCCTTACCCTAAACCTAACCCTAAACCTAAAACTAATCCTAAACCTAACCCTAAAACTAACCCTAAACCTAACCCTAAAACTAACCCTAAACCTTATCCTAAACCTTACCCTAAACCTTACCCTAAACCTAACCCTAAAACTAACCCTAAACCTAACCCTAAAACTAACCTTGAACAACCCCTATCATAGAACAACCCCATACTTAACCATTAACCATAAATGAACCCTTAACCCTGAAGTATAGGAATCTTAAAGTAAAAGAAGGCCTCTTTTTTCTATCAACAAACAAAGTGGTAAACTTTTGGCACTACTTATCTACTGGACCTTGTTTAATCTTAACTTGAACTGGTACTTACCTTCACATGTGCATTTCCCTTTTTTTTTGTCAACAAAGATATTACGAAATATTTGTCAGGTAACCAACCTACCCAACATTATGAACTGGTACTTTTTTGTGCTTACCTCAGGTGTGTTTTTCTTAAATTCTCTACTCTGTTCTACTAATCTTTTGCGTGAGGCGTCACTTTCGTCTTGTCTGTTAGCTAGTTCTGTTGCTGTTGTATCTAGTTCCTTCTACAAAAGAAAAGAAATTATTTTTAATTATTAAGAATTATTTAACTATTAGTTACTAATAAAAAAAAGTTGAAGATCTTTGTAAAGCAGAAAAAAAACAAACTATAAAAATAAACAAACTATAAAAATAAACAAACAACTATATACACTGTGCATTTTATGAATTTGTCAGTAAAGCACAAATACAATTCTTGTCCAAAATAAATATTTCAACTTTGCACAGAAAGGGTTAAATGTAAAAAAATGTAAAAAAAAATAGGTACCTTTCAATGAAAGATTTTTATTACCTGAATTTCAAAACATTTTTGCCAATAAACAGTGTCATGTAAATAAGCATCCCACAATGCAACACTCATTCATCAAACAGAAAGAAATTCTTACTACCTGGTGCATTGGTACCCTGAAACCAAACTGAATTATTTCTGCTAATGATGTGTTTCAATATGAATGATCACGACATTTTTAAGACACTGCACCATGATAGGTGAAGGTCACATGATTTTTCAATGTAAATCAACAATCACACATTATGATAGCCAATCCTGACACTGACAGGCTCTCAGAAAAAAAAAGTCACAAATGATCAAATGATTAATGATGACTGTCCCATGTAAGTGGACTTTATAAGTATTTTGTAGTATCCAAAAATGTCTACGTAGATCAAGAATCATTTATAAGATTTTTTGTGCTTATACAATCCAACGATACTTTAAGAAGGCATCACAGAAAAAAGGTCAAATTTCGATGATCATAAAGACAGCATAGAAAACCAAGTCAATTGTTTCAAGAGTCAGGAATGAAAAAAACACTGTCCCTGATCCTTCAGTGATGTTTTTTTTCCATATAACATGACTTTAATTACTGTGATTTTTTTTTCAACTGTACTTTTTATTCGTTTTTCTTCATTTACATGTGTCTTTAAACAAGTATACTCAATTTAAGAAGATTGAATTGCAACGAGAGAGAAAAACAACTTACTGGTACTTGGTTTTTTAAACCATTTTTTTTGTACTGGTTTTATATATCGGTAAAACTCTTTAATGATTGCACTCACAGTATCATGTCCAGATATTTAAAGAAAAGATGACAGGCACAGTTTCTCATCTTAACTTTATGTCCGAGAACAAGTTCAATAAAATTAACAGTTAACAAATGTCCAAGAACAAGTTCACCAAATATTTACAATTTACAAATGTCCAAGAAAAGGGTACATGACAATTAAGACAAACAATGTTCAAAGTTTTTATATGGTTCACTAACTATGCAAATCATCACAAGTAAAGAATAAAATCAAAACGTTCATATCTAAAACATTCTAAAACAAAGAGTCAACATCTAATTGCCTTGACTGACAACAGCCTCATGAAATACAGAGACCCAGAAATACATCATGAAAATTTAAGCGTTCATTGCAGTTCTTCATCTTATAAGTTGCAAGGAGGTCGTTTGTCCTATTTCTAATAGGATGCTACCACAAACAACATGTAATACTTTTTAGGGTCTCTTAACTTACATTTTTATATAGATCTCTTATCCATATGTTTTTCATCACAATTGCTTAATTACTTAATTGCCTACAAATCAGTTGGAATAAATTAATTAAGAAGAGAACCTGTTTATTTATTTATTTATTTATTAGATCTTACAGTGAATTTAAAATTCATTCCGTTACAATTAATTTTAAAGTAAAATTTTCAATGCAAAATCTAATAAACAATAATATAATATGCTTTAATTGTCAATCAAAATATTTTAATTAATAATTAAACATGTGATTGTTTAGTGATTAAGTGTTATTGCCCTCAAATGCACTTTATACATGTGTATATAGGATAAAATATACAAAATGTACATATAAAAAAACATACACATTCATACCTGCCAACTTTCAAAATCTACATGGGGGATTTAAAGACAAGAGGACCTCATACCTTTACATGTCATTAGTGTACTCAATTACTTTAGTAGAACATCTATGGTTTTGATTGAGTGTACATGTTTAAATGTATTTTTTATTCCTCTGAATGCCTTTTTAAAAGTATTTAGTCTAAATATTAGAATATTATAAGGATCAGGTCAACACCTCTCATGGGGGATATCCCCCATAAAGGAGGAAAGTTGGCAGTTCTGCTGACATTTTGTATGATGTATCCAATACATACATTAAATACCTCTTTCTGGTTTTATTAATGTGTTTTGGATTGTTGTCTCATTTTGTATATCTTATATAAAGCCTCCTTTGTCTATATTCCTTTCTACAAAGTATAGATACAAAAAAAACATTCAAGCAACATTTTAAAATTTTACAACTTTTAAGAGATAAAATTATTTTAGGTATTGAGAAATAATCATTTGGAAAACCAATTGTGATGATAGACCAGTTAAGAGATAAAATTATTTTAGGTATTGAGAAATAATCATTTGGAAAACCAATTGTGATCATAGACCAGGCTTTTGAAAAATAATGTTTTTTAAAGGGAGGTAACTTATATATATGAAAACTTGAATTGATGCATGAACATTACTATTAGTTTCCAGAAGACTGGATTTAGTCTGCAGTTTATAAAAGTCAACTTTATGGTTGCAGAGTTTGATTTAGTGCAGGGACATTGAATTTCATTATCCAATAACTATCTGAAACCAATACTTTGTGCCGAAAACCTATTTCCATTTCAAATCATCTAACATTCCAGAACTTTTTATGTAATTTGTCTAACCTTGATAATAAATCTCAAATTTTATGCTTTATTTGTGTCCCATCCTTACCTATCAGGTCAATTCTATACATATTTAAAATTCAAATTCGATCATCTTACACCTAAACAATCAGCAATCGTTTCACCTTTTGGGTGTCTTGCTTGCTTCAGCGCACACCGCATCTCTTCCTGAACAATACAATGATGGTGACAAGATCAAATTTTGTAATTGTTGAGAAGTCTAATACATTTAAGATCGGGAATATTAATGACAAAATCTTATCCACGGCACATTAAACATGAATATTCCGTGCCCTGAATTAAAAACAAAACTGTATCGACTGTTTAAATCATCAGACATTAAATCTGATATCAGTCGAATAAAAAAGATCATGATTTTAAATGAAAATAAGAAATATTTGACAAAACATTGTAAAAATATACAATGATGTAAAAAACAACTAAAATCCACTTGAATACACAGGTGCTTGGGTTCAATTACAATCGAACAATAACAAATAGCAATTAAATTGCAAATTTTATTTTCCACTGTACAATAACCATACTACTTCCTTGCATATCTTTTTCACCTTAACTGACAAATTTGTCATTGTAATTGTAAGACTGTTCAATTCTTTTTGTAGCAGATGATAAAAAGAATCCATTGGAAGGTGTGAATTTAAATGTTCGCAAATGAAAATTCTGAAAAAACCTTATTTTTGTCACTAGTTATATGTAGTGAATATTACAAAAGACGTTAATTCAATTCTTTCCTTTCATAATTCAAATACAGTAGGAGTTATTTCCCTTTTAGACAACTATTCTTATGCAGATTATTTAGCACTCCTGACATCTTATTTCATATTGAATATTTCTGAAACTTCAACTCCACCTACCTTTAAACATTTTCATCTATATTTTTATATAGCATTATTAAAATACTCTGTTTAATCAAAATCTGACATTCTACAGTTAAACACACATCTTCTTGTCATTAGATACCCAAGAGAGACAACTCTTGCAAATAGAAGATATTGGAGATAATTCCAACATATATAAGAATTAAAATGGGAGATAACTCTGACAAGAATTACAAAATTTAAGGAAAATATTCAATTCTAAAGAGTCAATAATCTCTAAGTAAGTCTAAATATGATGTTTAATAGATAAAAAGTAACATTGGAAGTGCTTTGTTTAGTATATTTGAATATAATCACAAACAAAGAAAGCTGGTCAAGTGATATTTGTATGTAAATATAGCTGCTCTATAGCATCACTATGAATCAGACCAAGTACATCAGCTATTGATATTTACTGGCACTGTTATTTTGTCTACTGTAGCTTTTCTTGATAGGAATACAGTTTAGTGTACTGTTTACTGCAAATGGACATTTTTGTTGGAGAAATACAGCACTAGGCTACAGTTTATCTCAATATCCAGTATAAACATGATGAGCATACAAACAATGAACAAATTTCATGCAAAACTTTTCAATAGATAATGATTTTAAAGTTTAAAGACTAAACTATAAAATCCTTTTTAAAAAACTTAACATATTAAAGAAACAATATCTTATTTCAAAGTTTGATGTTTTGTTTTATAAATCATAAAGTTCACAAAGTAGTCTATACAGATAATTGAATTTTGAAGAAGTGTATTAAATCTGATCAATATGAAAATCGTTATTTTAGACACTTTTAAATCTATGAATCAACAGTTGATTTACCTTTAATTTACAAAGCTTGATCCCTTCTGACGCAGTCCCTGAGTATCATGGATTTAAATCTAATCGAAACTGACTGTGTAGATATTGATAACAGTCGGTCAATCAGTTACCAATCACCGAAAAAATGAAAGGGAAGAGTTTAATCTGTAACGATTACGTTACTAAGACAAAAAGACATCTCATGTATTGGTCTATAATATAATTACAAAAGAGGGTGGGTTCAATTTTCCAATTGAAAAATTCCGTTGCACTTATTACGGCCATCAAGGGAACAAGGAGTTTAAAGATTAGGACTTTCTCTCGATGTGAAAAATTATGCACATTGACTACTTATCTCAGGAAAAAGAAAGATCAGAGCACTTTACATTTATTTATCTATCCACTTATCAAAAAATGTTTTCTTCTTAATAATACAATATGTATCAACCAATTGTGTTAAAAGTTGAAATTAGATCAGTTTTTCAAGTAAAATTATTGTTAAATTAACCATACAAGTGAACTGTTTATCATATAAGTAATTGATTAAAATGAGTATTGTCTGATCTTAGTTGCCAGCAAAATGTTCCTGCCCTGTTCC